ATGTTGGCAGTCAATTCTAGTTTTTTATAAAAATGCTGTATGGGACAAATAAAACCTGTATATTGGCAAGTTTTAGCCTCTGAGCCTCTGATTTGTAGTCTCTAAGCCTCTGCTATAGTAAGTTGGAAGAGTAATGGGACAAGAACCCTCCCCCTCCCCCTCCGCATTCTCACCCAAAGCCCTTACCAGGTAGGTAGAATGTCCCCTCATTGGTGCTTTGCTACGGCCTGGTGATAATTCTAACAACACATAGGACAGATGCAGAGTGAGGCTGACTTCATATATGGCACCATGCTGAGTCATTTAATTCTCACAACGACCCATAATATGAGGAATTTTAGATTCCTGTTACAGATAAGAAAACTGGGGGTCAGAGAGGTCCGGAAACTTGCCTAAAGTCACACAGCCGTATGTAGAGCAAGAATATCCTCTGATTTGCAGTCTCTAAGCCTCTGCTATAGTAAGTTGGAAGAGTGATGGGACAAGAACCCTCCCCCTCCCCCTCCGCATTCTCACCCAAAGCCCTTACCAGGTAGGTAGAATGTCCTGCTGAGTCATTTAATTCTCACAATGACCCATAATATGAGGAATTTTAGACTTCTGTTATAGATAAGGAAACTGAGGGTCAGAGAGGTCCAGAAACTCGCCTAAAGTGACACAGCCATATGTAGAACAAGAATACGAGCTCAGTTTTCCTGATTTTTTTCTTTTTCTTTTATTATGGTAAGATACAGATAACAAAAAACATGCCATTTTAATCACAGTTCAGTGGCATTAATTACATTCACAGTGTTATGCAACCATCACCTCTAGTTTCAAAACTTTTACATCACCTCAAACAGAAACTGTTTCCATTAAACAACTCCCCATTTCTCTCTCCCACCAGCCCCTGGCAATTTCCATTCTGTTTTCTGTTTTTATGAATCTAACTATTCTAAATGCTTCATGTAAATATAATAGTACAGTTTTTGGCCTTTTGTAACTGGCTTATTTCACTCAGCATAATGTCTTCAAGGTTCATCCATGTGATAGCATGGGCCAGAATTTTTCCTTTTTAGGGCTGAATAATATTCCACGTATGGCTAGATGGCACTTTGTTAATTCACTCATGCTTCAATGGACACTTGGGTTGTTTCCACCTGTTGGCTGTTGTGAATAGTGCTGCTGTGAATGTGACAAAGATCTCTTCAAGTCCCTCCTTTTGATTCTTTTGGGGATATCAGGCCTGCCAATTTCAAGCTGTAAGGTCTTGAAGCACTAAAGTCCCCGTGCAGTTAAAGGTGTCCCCACCGAGTGCTCTTCCGAACTCCTCTTGGAAACCTCTGGCCGTGGGGAAGTTAGCTTCGTCAGTGCTGTTTGCAGCCCAGGTCTGTGTCCCTGAAGCTGCTGTCACGGGGATGTGCCTCTGCTTTCTTCTTCACTGTGTCCCTGCGGTCTTTTCTCGGGGGGCCTTCAGCCCAGGTCTAGGTGGAGCGCTCCAGTTTACTCTTGACTCTGTGCTCCTGACTGTGTAGCACAGACTCCTGGCCTCCCTCCTCCCTCCCCAACTTCTAAGGGAGAGAACAAAATGCAACTGTGGGAAGCAGGATAGAAGGGTCTTTAAAAATAACCATAAATGATATAAGTTGTAAAAATGCACCACAGTCTGTAAACCTCACTGAGTTGTCCCAAGATAGGAGGACCATCAGGTCTCTGTCCACCGTGTAAGGTGCCCGTCCTCCATCACTGTCTTGGGAGCTCACCCTTTCTCCTTTGTCTCCACAGGGACCTACCAGGGCCAGTGGGTCGGTGGCATGCGCCAAGGCTATGGTGTGCGGCAGAGTGTCCCCTACGGCATGGCGGCCGTCATCCGCTCGCCCCTGAGGACGTCCATCAACTCTCTGCGCAGTGAGCACACCAATGGCGCGGCGCTGCACCCGGACGCCTCCCCAGCGGTGGCCGGCTCC